TAGTATCCGGATACAACGCGTGAAATAAACGTAGTCTTTATCACTTTTTGTATTAAAGTTTATTTTTTGTGAAAGAATTTCTATATTTACTTGGATTTTTGGGTTGCCCCATACCCGCCACTGTATTTCGGAAACCAGTCATAGGATCATCTTGGGCTCATGAGAACTTTTGATCAGTAGATCGATATCTACAACATACCAAAATTTCATTGAAATCGTGGATTTTTTAAAATCCCATCTAAAGTGTGCATCGTCCTTTGACTACCTAAAGATTTTACATTGGTTTACCTTGTAAAACTACCACCCACATTATTGATTTGAAATTAAAAGTTAAATTAACCTTTTAAAGGTTAATGGATCCATAATATATTATATCGATCAGTACTCGATATTACGGAAATAAATTTTCAATAACTACAATAATGCATACTTATTGGATAATAAATAATTATTGAGAAAACGATAATAAAAGCCAATAGCTGACTCTGATAATAATTAATTAATTAAATTAATAATTTCGAACGGTAGTTAGCTATTCTAGCTAAACACTACTATAGGGTAAACAAATTAAGTCGGTAATTGAATTTACAAAGATATTAATTAGCTAATAAAGCTAAACGATAGGGGGCGATAAAGAAAAGGTAAAAATAAGTTACGGTAGTTATGATGGCACTTTTAAGACACCCATAGGTAAGTAATTATACAAGCCTGGACGGAATCCTTGTAAAGCCTCGGAAGTTTTCAAAAATTTGAGCTCTGGAAGTACCAAACTGGCTGGAGACAACCAAATAATGGTTGAGGATCAACTTCTTACAGGACACAAACTTTCCTTGTAAAGGGGGCCCAGATTTGCTCTGAGTTTCCAGGACAGCGTAGTCTCAAATTTGTCAATTTTCACTTGGAGAAGTGTAGGCACGGATTTTTCGTCCTGCCGAAGGTGCCTGAATGAATTGAAGGAATATAAGGACATTCATCAGAGAGAAAAAGGAATTTACATACCTGAACGGCCGATAATAACCTCACTTTCCAAAATCTTCACAAAAATCAACAATCGGTTGATTTTCCAGAAATCTTTCTAGAAGACACGATCAAGCACTCTTCTGGCTAGTTAATTTTCAAGAATATGGCTTCGATGGCCAAAAACAAAGATATAGTTTCAAGATTTTTAAAATTCTCAAAATCTGGACGACCTGTTTTGGTCCCAAGACAAAATTGGTCCTATCTTTTCTTTCTTTGTCTGTCAAGCTTGTCAAAATCATAAAAATGACAGCGCTACAGGTTTCGCGAAAATAACAGAATTCTCGATATTAGGATAGGAAAACTAGTCAGAAGAATCATAGATGTCGCTAGGTGTTCGAAATAGTACTTTTAAATGAGTCCAAAATATATAAAAATAATTAAGAACAATATTTTTGTGACATTTCAAATGTTACAACGAAACCGAAGAGTTTAACGAAGAACACACAGTGAAAAAACTCTTGCAAGATAAAAATGTCCACAATTCTCGCCAAGCATTTGGGAATGGTTTTTCGACTGGCTTGAAAATGCCTTCTGGTAAGCGCCGCAGCCTAATAATACCTCACATTGTTACTGATAGAGGCTTTTTAAATGGAGGTTTGCTCGAATCCGAATCAAAATCAACTCACGATTAGCATAAAGAATGACGGCCGATGTTTTTGAAGACTACTTTTCTGAAATTATCACCTCAACTCCTCAAGGATTCTTCATTAACATGGACAACGTCAGCTTATCATTCCCATTCCAGACTAGCGGAATAGTTACCTTTATGTTCCTGGCGGAAGGAAGATATTCTAAATTGTCTAAATTAAAAAAAAATACCCTAAGAAAATTATATTTTAATGAAAGAGGCTATGAAAATAGCTAAAGAACAAAAATCACAGTTCAAAAGATGAAATGGCTAAGGAAAGGGATATAATTATACTTCGCTTGCCACCCTACCATTGACAATTAAATCCGATTGTACTAATATAGGCTCAGGTGAAGGGATTAATAGCAAGAAATAACACCCCCTTCAAATTAGTATTGTACTCAAGCCGGTACCGAGTGTGTCGGTGAAGTATTGTTGAAACTAGGTTTATGCTTCTGTTAAATTTGCGTATTATACCCACAATGCTCACCCTGTTTTCGACCCTTTTTTTTGTGTTTGAATTCATACATATGCCGTATTTATAGAGAAAAGGACTTGCTTTTACTTGCAGAAATCGATACATTTACTTCATTATTCATTCATAAAAAAAAATAAGGAAAAGATTTGGACTTCTAGCAAAAAGGTATCGCTCTAAAGGAGAAGGTTTCACTTTTTCGATATTCATAAATAGAAGATTAGTTTCAGAAAATATGCATCTATTACAGATCAGCTTATGTGGCAAATTATCCTTCACTTCATTCGTTAATATGCACTTGTAGGGCGAAGGTGATTTGTTTTGGAGTGCGATCGTGATTTTGAATTTCCCATTGAGGATGTGGTGCACGTACGAGCACAGAAAGTGTGCAAAGAAACACGTACTCCACGTCAGGGCGATTTTAGAAGCTTCTTCCAGTTCTTTTGGTTTGACGAAATAAACGAGCAGTGCGCTTAGCCGACTACTTCAATGGCGAGAATCTGGGAACTAGGTGAGGTGCGCTTTCGCCAGTACAAAAAATGGAAGTAGTTCTACGGTACATAGCAGATCCGGGCTTCCAGAGCGGTATCGGTGAGGAACTGGGATGTACTCAGCCTACAGTCTTTTGAATCGTCGCTACTACACTCGATCTCATTGTGGATAGGGCAAATGAATGGATCAAGTTCCCATCTACCGAAAATGAAGTTATGGAAGCCGCAAAGTGAAATGGGCAGCAAGCAAAAATTTTTCCGACTGCAATAGGAGATATCGATTGCACGCATGTTGAAATTCAGAAAGCGCGTCAATTTGGCGATGAATATTAACTGGAAAAATTAGGCTAGTATTAATAGGTCTGCACATTTGAAACTAGTTTTCTGACTGTTTCTGACTGTTTTCAACCTATGAAATTTGCTCTCACTGGTTTGTGATTTCTGTGCGAACAGACCCATTGCTCAAGCCATATTGTGATCAAAATAACGTTTTCATGAATATCGATGCACGGTGGCCGCCCGGCTCCGTATCTGACAGTCGAATTTGGAAAAAAATGTCTGCTCGTGAAATCATGCGGCGGACGGTAATATAAATACATACAGGGTGGGGACTTTAACTGGAACTAATTCGCTAGAGCCTTCGGATAAAATATGTGAACAGAACGCAAAAACATGTCGATTAAGATTTTTTGCTTGCGATTTTTTCACAACAATTTTGTTATACAGAGTGCTCCAAGAACAGCTGTACGATTATCAACTTCATTTTTTTAAATAGTAGCCCCTGTATATCATGACATTTCTGGATTCTACGTAAAATTCTAGAAATATTTCATGTATAATGTCATATACCTATCTTCAACTGTTTCGGAAATATTCACAGTTGAAAATTGACTTTTTTGCAACTTTGACCGGCTAACGGAATTTTTAATCATGGATTAAATTCAAAGTTGGTGTTAAATGATAGTTAACGAAAAACTAAGATCAAAATGTATGATCGGTTTTGCTGTAAAATCAACCGTTTAGGTTTTACAGTCTGTCAAAGATGCAAAAAAGTCAATCTTCAACTGTCAATATTTCCGAAACAGTTGAAGATAAGTATAGGACATTGTACATAAAATATGTCTAAAATTTTCCGCAAAATCCAAAAATATCATAATATACAGGGGTTACTATTTAAAAAAATAAAGTTGAAAACCGTACAGCTGTTCTTGGAACACCCTGTATAAAAAAAAATTATGCGGAAAAATCTTAAGCAAAAAATCTTAATCGACGTGTTTTTACGTTTTGTCCACATATATTATCAGAAGGCTCTAGCGAATCATTTCCAGTTAAAGTCTCCACCCTGTATATCTATCAGTTGCCTCTGTCTACCTTTTCGTTTTTTTGCGAGTACTTGCTTGCAAAGAAAAGGAAAAAATTATGTATACGAAATAAAGCAAAACCTTTTCCTTCTAGCTTCTCCTTGTGACCTCTTTCATTTACTTCTACCTTTATTTTTGGAGGAAATACTTCATTTTTATAAATACGGCCTAATGAGTTTCTGTGTTCTTTATCAAAAGGAAACAGAATATAGATGTGCTCCATTTGTTATGAAAAGGTAAAATAAATAAATAATAAAATATTTGACTAACTAAACTACGCTTTGTTCATTGCAGAATATTACACGTTCTCTTATACCAACTGTAAAAAGCATTTTGTAGCATTTGGGATGTTTGCACTTTCATCAAAAATAATTCTCTCCTTTCTCCTTCTGTTATAGGATTAAGTATAAAAGCTTAAATAGTCTTAGGTATATAAGAAAGATCCATTATGTTTAAAAGAGGTTACTTAAGAATAATCTCAATTTCAGTCGATAAACTTAACGGCCGGTCAACAAGAAACTCTCAGAGAAAAGTGAGTTGTGAGAACAGATGCACCTGCTGAAAATAATTAAGTTCACCGTTGTGTAGTTGATGTAAAAAAAAAACTTTTTTGTTCTCAGATAAAATAAAACGTAGCTTGAATAATTTTCTGAGCGATTGAGTGAAATCCATTATAAATTTTGAAATGAAACAAAATGTTTATAATTTCCACAAATTTTTAATAGTCCGTGACATGTTTCGGCACACGGAATCATTCCGTCCAAAGAAAGCACCATTTGCCGAAACATGTCACGGACTATTGAAAATGTGTGTAAATCATAAACATATTTTGTTTCATTGAAAAAAAATCTTTTTGGCGATTTTTAGGAGGATTTTCAACAGAGCTTCTGCCTCTCAATGTGCTGCATTCCAGATAATTTGAAGAAAATCCCCACTGAAATAGCCCAAGAACTGGAACTAATATTAAAAAAAAATGATAAAACGATATATTTTTTTTTCAACTTTTATTATAAACAAATTCATCGTTACCAATAAGTTACTGGCGCAGAAGCGCCTCCATGTTTCTGAGATGACAAAGATTTCATACCAATAATCGAAGATATCATAAAAGCAATTACTCCAATAAGTAGTGCTTTACCAGCTATCAAAGCAATGCCTCCTAATGAGAGAGCTCCCAGCAACATTGAAATCATTCCTCCAGCTATCAGTATCATGCCTCCACCACCATCACCTTTTTTATTTTTTCCTCGAGCTGTGACTGCTTCTGTCACAGTTTTAGTAACGTTCCAGAGATTCAGATCAATAGAGTGGCCTCTGAGGAAATTTGAAGCTTGTTTCATAATAACTGTATCAAGTGTTGATGAGGTGTTTTCCAAATTTCGACCGATTACTTGCAAGTCTTCGAAATTGTCCATTGCATCAGTTGTTAGTGATAGGCCAGGAAATATAGTAATGTTTGTATATTTTTTAGCAAATCGATCCACGATTAGTATTAAATCGGTTTTGAAGCAACTTAATACATCAGAAGCACAAGAATCAGGCACATCACTACAATTTACTTTTGCAAATAATGCACTGATTGCAATAATAAAATACACAGAATAGTTGTTAGACATATTTACTGGTTTAAAGCGTGTCTTTGAATGAAAATTAGTTTTATTTTTCCTGCTTTTATATTTATGAAGTTAATTCCGGTTTGTTCTGAAACCAGTAATCATTTTGGGGCGCCTAGAAAAAAATGTTCATTACACCAAAAATGCAAGTTGTTTAGTATATAATTAATATCGAGGTTTTTGTTACAATTTTCTAGTGAAATTAGTTGGACACTTGAAATAGGAAAATTAAGATAACAAGATGCAACATAAAAACTAGTATTTTAAAAATTGTTCACTTTCAATCAAATTGGATAATAAAAGTCTTCTCACTGTCTTCAAATATACTGAATGCAATCAACAAAGGTGATGTCAGTTTCGTTATGCAATATGATTAGAATGATATATCTCTGAACATTTATATCCTTGCTAAAATCCGGAAAAATTGGAGAAAGCACACTTAAAATGATAAGTATAGGAATTTAATAAATAATACAAACGAAAATCGATTGACTCAGGTTTTTGATGGTTCATAACGCTGAAGACATAATGAGAAAAACAGGTTACAGATGACAAATACAAAATTTCGACTTTGAGAGGCTGCTCAAAAGAATCTGAGTCTTGTATCTATAGTATCTACCACCACTTTCATTTTCAGATGATTTTAAATCTTATGGCTGGTTTATACAACATTTGCATAGTCATAATCATAATCATAGTCTTAGTCATAAGAGTTAAAATAATATTTTCTTATGGAACCGTTTATACACAAATCATAATCATAAGCATAAGCATAAGCATAAGCATAACTCAAAGTTGGCAACTTTTAACTTTTATGATTGTGACTAAGACGAGATCTAAACTGCGCAAGCGCCACTATCAGCTGTTACAGAGAAAAACAATTCAAATCTGCTATTTTAGTTCTGTGTGTATTTAAATTGATCTCGAGTCATTCTAGAGTATTCAAAAAATTGGTTTCCATCAAGGTTTCACATGTTTTTGAATAATGTGGCGCAAAACTCAATAATAAATAGGACAGACCTATCACTTGTATGGTTTTCCTTCCCAGAATTTTAATTTCCACACTTTTTGAAACTTTGAAAAAGTATTAAAAGTAACTACACGAATTCGATTCGCAAAAAGTAAACAAACTCTCCCTACAAAAGTCGGGTTAGAGTTGATTTTATTTTATGCTTATGACATTGTATAAACGCCTTCTAAAATTGTGATTATGATTAAGACTAAGACTAAGACTATGATTATGATTATGACTATGCAAATGTTGTATAAACCAGCCATTATAGTCCATGTTGAGTTTTTTAATCCATTTTCACGAACACAAAAATCACTCGTAATCCTTGGGAAATAAAACTTCATTCATTCAAATATTGAATTCAAGGTGGAGCACTTTATGTTTCCTTTGTAAAATTGAATCAATCGCAAAGGCAAGCAATTATTTTGCCGATTCTGATTGGCCAGTTACAAGAAACATAATTAGTACAAAATACCAAAATTCGGAAAATTATATCAGTGGCCAGTAACTGGTATCCTTGTATTCATATTTTCAGCCTCACTGATAAATAGATTACAGATACCATCTTCTGAATGTTAGCAGTGACAGTCGTTCACAAAATAATTTTTTTTATCAGAATTCAGAAAAACATGTTATAGTGATAATTGTGATGTGTATTATCACCAAGCAATCTGACAAAATTTAGAAACAATAAATTTTGGTCAGGTTCTTTGGAATTGCAGTGTAGGAAAAAAAGTTTCGCTATTATCAACAACAACAAACTTTATATTGAGTTTAAAAAACATTTAAAACCTTTGACCGAGTACAAGTTTGCTATGAAATCGTTTACCCCAAATAGATTAACTAGTTTATGAATATACCATAATTTTCACTTAATCTAACACAAACCAGTACAACAAGAATAAATTTAATTGTTCTATGCCCCAAACTCGAGTATATATAATACCTTTTCATGTTCATGGCAAGTAACAATAGTTACGCGAACGCCATTTAAGTAAAAATAAAAATGATTCTAAATAATGTATTAACCCTTTTCTTTTTGCCAATCCTTGTAAGTGCTTATAGTGACTTTAAAAAATCTTATTTAGTGGACCACTGTGATAAAATTTATTCATTAGCCTGTTTCAAATTAGAAGCTGCCAATTGGATTGACAAATTTGGTGTCAGTAGTGAATTGAATATTATACCAGGTGTTTCGATATTGCAAAATTCAAACAGTGTTCGTGTTGATACTAACGCTATTGCCAAAGAAGTTACCAGAGAATTTCCCAGTGACCAAAATGCCAGGGTCAACCAGTTTTTTATTAAAAAAATTGAAAACTTTCTCAATGGACATTCGTTAAAATTAAATCTTTGGAAAGCTTTCAATGGTGAAGAATTATCCGCTTCCGATGATATTGAAACCGCGAGAGGAGATAAAACCAAGAAAAGCTCTAGTGGTGGAAGCGGAGGTATGAGCATGATCCTAATATCTGGAGCAATGATTGTCGGTGTAATGACAGCCTTAACAATGGGTGGCCTTACAGCACTAGCAGGAAAAGCTTTACTTACGGGATTGGTCGCTTTAGTACTGTCCGCAATTATTGGCCTTAAGGAATTAGTAGGTCAATCTAAAACTCTCATTGCCCAACCAGTGTCTGTGCCAGCCCATGAGGTTTGGGAAGAATATCCAGGCCATCATAGTAGAATGACGCAAGAACTGCCCAAAGGGCTACAGCCAGAATATACACCAGCTTAGGCTGATTATGTACCTTAAACTATTAATTTATTTATTAAATGTGTTGATATATTTTATTGTTTTGATTTCGAAAGTCCACTTAGGATGACCATATCTTTTACAAGTTTTACACAAAGATGCGTCTGCAAATTAACAGTCTAGGGAACTGCAGATTTCAATTTCAATTGGTTACAGAAAATTATAATAAAGATTTGTTAACTCACATAAAGAGTAAGGCATTCGGTTTGGACAATTATTTAAATGTAACAATAATACTTTCAGCTCTTCCTGTCATAATTAAGCCTGTCTTACACATTGTTAATCTTTGTATAGAAAATTCATATTTCCCACTACTCTGGAAAAAAGCTAAAATTATTCCTCTTCCAAAGGTTCAAAATGCCTCCTTCTATTCGCAAATTCGATCTATATCGGTACTTCTAGTTCTATCAAAACTCCTTGACAAGGTAATGGAAGACCAAATTCGAAGTTACATGGATACCAATGAACTGTTTCCACCAAACCAATCCGGATTTCGTAAAGGATATGACTGCTGCATAGCTCTTTCTAAAGTAACAGATGATATATTCGCCGCTCTTGACTAATCAAACATCAGTTCTTGTATTATGGGACTTTACTAAGGCATTTGATTTAATAAACCAAGATTTACTTTTATCAATATTGAATTGGTTTTGAATTTACTGCTTTTGGTTTAGTTCAATCATATTTATCAAATCGTCAACAGTATGTTACCCTTGATGATAAAATGTCGGATCCTTGTGAGGTGGTCGCCGGAGTTCCTCAGGGAAGTATTTTGGATCCTCTCTTGTTCACAATTTATACCTCACAATTCGACAAATACATGAAACACTGCAGTAGTCATACTTACGCAGACGACAAACAAATACTACTGTCATTTAGTCCCACACAGAGTCGGCAAGCATGTGCTCTTTTAAATGAGGACCTTGAAACATTGTCTCAGGGGGCAAAGCACCATCAATTGCAAATGAATGCCTCTAAATCAGTTGCACTTCTTTTTTGTAGCGAGGTGCATCGGGCTGGTATTGCTGGTAGCATGTCATTGAAGATTGATGGTAAAAATCTGCCCTTCCAGAATTATTCTAAAAACCTAGGTCTGATAATCGATAATAAACTAAAATTTACCGAACATGTTACAAGCAAGATTAGTTTAGGGTACTGCAACTTAAAATTGCTTTATTCACATCGAAAATATTTACATCAAGATGCCAAAGAAATGCTGTGTGATGCGATGGTCTTATCACCGTTAAATTATTGTGATGTTATATGTTCCTTGTACTACTCACGATTCTAAGCGCATTCAGAAATTGCAAAACTGTTGCCTAAGGCTAATTTACGGAATACGCAGAAGTGAACGAATCACTTATAGACTGCAGGATGCAAACTGGCTGAATAATGTATAGTGCCCAAAAGTTTATGTATATTATTAGCTTTTTTCACGGAGACGATCCCAAATGTATCCTGAACGCTAAGGCATGACCTATGCAAGTTTACTAATCAACAGAGACATGAAACTTTCAAACATTACTTGCGTAAGTCATGCCTTAGCGTTCAGGATACGTTTGGGACCGTCTCCGCGAAAAAAGTGTACAAGCACTATAATTCCTAGAATTCATAATTATTACAAAGGGAATTATATTATGCAGTAGAGTTACCGTATTATCGACAGCCAAAAGTACTCTCAATATCAGAAAATGCCAATTTTGAACCCAAATATTTTAGATACCCAGGTTCACGCGTCTGGTCAAAAGCACCGACTATGAAAACAACGAACTATACTTCAATCAAAAACCAAAATATGTTTGGGCCAATGGGTAGTGGAAAACCTGCATCAGGCATTCCTGGATGGACAAAACTGTCACCCTTGTACCAGTGGCGTAATTACTGATTTACTGATTTTATCAATGGTCGGTCCTTTTGACCGGCACGCGTGTACTCCCGGGTTAAGTAGTAGCATTGTAGTAGGTAGTCTAAGAGAAAATTTATATTATGGAAAGTGTCTCTGTCTACAATTTTTCAAGAAAAAATGGCTCATCGAGCTGTATATTTTTTGTGACACGCCACCTCAGCTGAGTGAAAAAGGATCTCTTTATTTTTTCCATACATTAGGGTATGCCAGCAACAGTAAAGGTATCGACGCGGCTGAATTTTGCCTATAAGAATAGTACTAGTTTTCATAGCAGCCATCAAAACTATGAAACTTGACTAAGATCAGATATGTAACATACATACCATGCATAAAAAAATGCTACAAACTTTGGTCTAAGTACTTACCATCAAAGCAAGTTTCTCAACCTGTCTAGCACAAATCACTTAGACGTTCTGTCCATCTTTTCGATTTGCAGCCAAACCCTGAACTTGAAATGACAAAAAGCCACGGTAAATTAATTTTAGGTGAAAGGACAGAAAAAAATTTATATAGAGGAATGATTCTCGAAATTACGTTCCAAATGCGGTTATAACAATATAGTTCATACTTATTTTTGTGTAAAGTAAAAATCAATTGAAGCTATCAGTGCATGAAGGTGTTAAGTCACTTTTTAACAATTTTGAAATATTTAGGGTTAAAGTAAAATTGTTGGAGCTTTTTCTGTTTAAAATAAAATCAAAATCAAGATGCGTCAAAACACAGACAAGAAATGTAAATTTAATATTACGGTCAACTTTTTTCATTTTTTATGTTTTTTTTTTTATTTTTAAATCAGTAGTTAACCCCTTCTTGCACAATTATAGAGAGTTAACACCTTCTTGCTCCAAATAAGTTCGACAAAACTTGAGTTAACGCGATTTAAACTTCAGTTTTTAAGGTACCAGGTAACATCTATGATCCAACGTCTTTACTAACGCAAAGAATGAATTAACATTCATACCATACCATTTTTCGGGATTTCAGCTAAAAATTGAGTTAACACCTTCATGCACTAATAGCTTCAATTGTGGTTTTGAATAGTACATTGTTTTTCGAGAAATGGTGAATATTTGTAATTTCATGGTATCTTTACGCTAATTATTATTTAGTGCTCCATTTCATCGCAATAAAATTCGTGATCAAGGTTTAAGCCAGCATCATCGAGTTTTTAATTGAATTTTTCTGGTATATAAACCATTGAACTTTCAAGAAGAATCATAGTTATTCATCATCATTACAATGTTTCAGTACGCAGCAGTTCTGGTATTCCTATTTGTTATAACCCCAGCATTAAGTGATGAAAATAAAAGTGAATTTAAAAAATCCTTCTCGAAAAATTGTGATTCTTCTTATACATTAACTTGCTTAAAGCTGGATATTGTTTCGTGGGTGGAAACATTGAATGAAGAAGACAACTATGCGTTACTACCAGGTGTTTCTATAGTGCGTGAAAATATCAGTGCAAGAGCCAACACAGCTGATATTGTAGCTGATTTAGCCAGAGAGTTCCCAAACGATCCTGAAGCTAGACTTGACGTGTTTTTAATGAGGAAAGTTACTGGATTCATTAACAATCATTCTATTAAATTAAAATTATGGAGTGATAATATTGATATAGCTTCTGCTCGTGGTAAAGGCGGCGGATTCGGAGGTAAAGGAGGTGGACTTGGATATCTTATTGCTGCAGGTGCCATGATGAAAGGTACACTTTTAGCCATAGCTCTAGGAGCATTAGCAGCTTTGGCGGGTAAAGCCCTTATGGCAGCACTAATGTCCTTAGTATTATCAGCTTTGGCTGGTCTGAAAGGAATGGGAGGTCATGGAAAAACTACCTACGAAGTTGTAGCTAAGCCTGTGTATACTGCATCCCATTCTCACTCGACCTCCCATGAAGATTATGGACATGGGGCACATTCGGGCTATGGACGAAGCTTTGCGGACCAACCGCTCCCTATAGGGTTGCAACCGAATTATAAACCGGAACATTAATGTCCATTTAACATATTAATATTTATTGTTACCTATTTATTGAAAAAATATATTAATTATTTTTGGTAAACCTAAATGTGTAGATATTATGTCTATTTGAGTTGTTGGTATTCAATTACAGATAGTAGGTTGGCATTTCTTGTTTTTTTTTTTTTCAAGTTAAAAATGCAGATTAGGGAATTTCTTTGAAAATTGTGGTGTAGTAGCGATAAAGTCTGCTGTAAACGTTGTTTCACTTATTATCAAGAATTTATTAACCAATCGAATAATAGATACCTATTAGATAAAGTAATATATTCTTCTAATCATGATTTGTTTTGATGGAATGGCTGTAGGTAGATTCAGGGCTTCGCGAGACCACAAGACTAGTCTTGGTCTTTTCTTGTTCTTGGTAGCAAGACCAAGACCAAGACCGAGACCAAGACCTGATAAATCTTCTCAAGGCCAAGACCAAGATTTGACGTTCAAGACCAAGACCAAGACCAAGACTCTCTCTCAAGACTCTCGTCTTGGTCTTGGTCTTGAAAAAAAAAATCGACTCACTCAATATTTATAAAAATATGCAAATTTCTATATCTCCTCTTAATGTCTTTTAATTAAATCAATTCATCAAATTTATTATTTTTTGAAATTCACGAGAAGGTATTATAGGTTTTAAAAATACATACGTACAACATAGTATAGGTAACATTCATTTACACAGAACACATCGATATTTTCCTATCCTTACATAATACCTACAATACCTAATTATTGGAATTTCCAAAGATAATTCTCAACTAACTAACTAACCCAAACTAGCACAAACCCCACATCTCACCCAAACTAACCCAAATTTAATTATTATGAATAGGACAATAAAATTCAAATGAGGTATGTGAATATGTGAAGGTTTTCGAAAACCTTTCTCTTGCCTGAATGCTCAGGTAGGTAAGGTAGGTTTAATGTATGGTTCAAAAAGAAATTTATTTTTTTCCTCGGTACAGAATAGCAGTTTCATGTGTTTGTCGACTTTCCTGTGGGTCAGTTAAGTTAGCCCCCCCCCCCCCCAAAGAAAATTTCTGGATGAAAATTATCCCATAATTTTGCTCTCATTTTGCTCCATTTTGCTCCGCTAATTTCGATTTTTGCTCCATTACAGTGGAGAGACTATGTGGCCTATTAGGTGGGGGGGGCTGAATTAACGCTAGCCCCCCCCCCCCCCCCCAGTGAAAATTCAGAAATTTGATCATGCTCATTTTGTTCTCCGAGTTTTGCTCCATTTTGCTCCACTATCGGCGAGTTTTGCTCCATTACCAGGAGAGACCTACAGAGCTTCCAAGAATCTCTCCCAGCCCCCACCCCGGTGAAAATTTTGAAATTTGATCATGCTCATTTTGTTCTCCGAGTTTTGCTCCATTTTGCTCCACTATCGGCGAGTTTTGCTCCATTACCAGGAGAGACCTACCTCCCAGCCCCCCCCCCCCCCCCCCCGGTGAAAATTTTGAAATTTGATCATGCTCATTTTGTTCTCCGAGTTTTGCTCCATTTTGCTCCACTATCGGCGAGTTTTGCTCCATTACCAGGAGAGACCTACAGAGCTCCCAAAAATCTCTCCTAGCCCCCCCGGTGAATTTTTTTTTAATTTGAACATGTTCATTTTGTTCTCCGAGTTTTGCTCCGTTTTGCTCCATTATCGGCGAGTTTTTCCCAAAAATCTCTCCTAGCCCCCCCCGGTGAAATTTTTTAAATTTGCTCATGCTCATTTTGTTCTCCGAGTTTTGCTCCGTTTTGCTCCATAATCGGCGAGTTTTGCTCCATTACCAGGAGAGACTTACAGAGCTCCCAAAAATCTCTCCTAGCCCCACCCCCCGGTGAAATTTTTTGAATTTGCTCATTCTCATTTTGTTCTCCGAGTTTTGCTCCGTTTTGCTCCATAATCGGCGAGTTTTGCTCCATTACCAGGAGAGACTTACAGAGCTCCCAAAAATCTCTCCTAGCCCCACCCCCCGGTGAAATTTTTTGAATTTGCTCATTCTCATTTTGTTCTCCGAGTTTTGCTCCGTTTTGCTCCATAATCGGCGAGTTTTGCTCCATTACCAGGAGAGACCTACAGAGCTCTCAAAAATCTCTCCTAGCCCCCCCCCCCCCCCCGCCCGCGGTGAAATTTTTCAAATTTGAACATGCTCATTTTGTTCTCCGAGTTTTGCTCCGTTTTGCTCCATAATCGGCGAGTTTTGCTCCATTACCAGGAGAGACCTACAGAACTCCCAAAAATCTCTCCTAGTCCCCCCCGGTGAATTTTTTTAAATTTGAACATGTTCATTTTGTTCTCCGAGTTTTGCTCCGTTTTGCTCCATTATCGGCGAGTTTTGCTCTATTACCAGGAGAGACTTACAGAACTCCCAAAAATCTCTCCTAGCCCCCCCCCCCCCCCCCGGTGAAATTTTTCAAATTTGAAAATGCTCATTTTGTTCTCCGAGTTTTGCTCCGTTTTGCTCCATAATCGGCGAGTTTTGCTCCATCACCAGGAGAGACCTACAGAGCGCCCAAAAATCTGTCCTAGCCTTCCCCCCCACCGGATGAAATTTTTTAAATTTGTATATGTTCATTTTGTTCTCCGACTTTTGCTCCGTTTTGCTCCATTATCGGCGAGTTTTGCTCTATTACCAGGAGAGACCTACAGAGCTCCCAAATCTCTCCTACCCCCCCCCGGTGATTTTTTTTTTAATTTGAACATGTTCATTTTGTTCTCCAAGTTTTGCTCCGTTTTGCTCCATAATCGGCGAGTTTTGCTCCATTACCAGGAGAGACCTACAGAGCTCTCAAAAATATCTCCTAGCCCCCCCCCCCCCCCCCACGGTGAAATTTTTCAAATTTGAACATGCTCATTTTGTTCTCCGAGTTTCGCTCCGTTTTGCTCCATAATCGGCGAGTTTTGCTAAATTACCAGGAGAGACCTACAGAACTCCCAAAAATCTCTCCTAGTCCCCCCCGGTGAATTTTTTTAAATTTGAACATGTTCATTTTGTTCTCCGAGTTTTGCTCCATTATCGGCGAGTTTTGCTCTATTACCAGGAGAGACTTACAGAACTCCCAAAAATCTCTCCTAGCCCCCCCCCCCCCCCCCCGGTGAAATTTTTCAAATTAGAACATGCTCATTTTGTTCTCCGAGTTTTGCTCCGTTTTGCTCCATAATCGGCGAGTTTTGCTCCATCACCAGGAGAGACCTACAGAGCTCCCCAAAAATCTGTCCTAGCCTTCCCCCCCCCCACCGGATGAAATTTTTTAAATTTGTATATGTTCATTTTGTTCCCCTACTTTTGCTCCGTTTTGCTCCATTATCGGCGAGTTTTGCTCTATTACCAGAAGAGACCTACAGAGCTCCCAAAAATCTCTCCTAGCCCCCCCCCGGTGAAATTTTTTAAATTTGAACATGCTCATTTTGCTCTCCGAGTTTTGCTCCGTTTTGCTCCATAATCGGCGAGTTTTGCTCACTTACCAGGAGAGACTTACAGAGCTCCCAAAAATCTCTCCTAGCCCCACCCCCCGGTGAAATTTTTTAAATTTGCTCATTCTCATTTTGTTCTCCGAGTTTTGCTCCGTTTTGCTCCATCATCGGCGAGTTTTGCTCCATTACCAGGAGAGACCTACAGAGCTCTCAAAAATCTCTCCTAGCCCCCCCCCCCCTTGAAATTTTTCAAATTTGAACATGCTCATTTTGTTCTCCGAGTTTTGCTCCGTTTTGCTCCATAATCGGCGAGTTTTGCTCCATTACCAGGAGAGACCTACAGAACTCCCAAAAATCTCTCCTAGTCCCCCCCGGTGAATTTTTTTAAATTTGAACATGTTCATTTTGTTCTCCGAGTTTTGCTCCGTTTTGCTCCATTATCGGCGAGTTTTGCTCTGTTACCAGGAGAGACTTACAGAACTCCCAAAAATCTCTCCTAGCCCCCCCCCCTGTGAAATTTTTCAAATTTGAACATGCTCATTTTGTTCTACGAGTTTTGCTCCGTTTTGCTGCATAATCGGCGAGTTTTGTTCCATTACCAGGAGAGACCTACAGAGCTCCCAAAAATCTGTCCTAGCCTTCCCCCCCCCCCGGATGAAATTTTTTAAATTTGAATATGTTCATTTTTTTCTCCGACTTTTGCTCCATTTTGCTCCAATATAGGCGAGTTTTGCTCCATTACCAGGAGAGACCTACAGAGCTCCCAAATCTCTCCTAGCCCCCCCCCGGTGATTTTTTTTTTAATTTGAACATGTTCATTTTGTTCTCCAAGTTTCGCTCCGCTTTGCTCCATAATCGGCGAGTTTTGCTAAATTACCAGGAGAGACCTACAGAACTCCCAAAAATCTCTCCTAGTCCCCCCGGGTGAATTTTTTTAAATTTGAACATGTTCATTTTGTTCTCCGAGTTTTGCTCCATTATCGGCGAGTTTTGCTCTATTACCAGGAGAGACTTACAGAACTCCCAAAAATTTCTCCTAGCCCCCCCCCGGTGAAATTTTTCAAATTTGAACATGCTCATTTTGTTCTACGAGTTTTGCTCCGTTTTGCTGCATAATCGGCGAGTTTTGCTCCATTACCAGGAGAGACCTACAGAGCTCCCAAAAATCTCTCCTAGCCCCCCCCGGTGAAATTTTTTAAATTTGAATATGTTGATTTTGTTCTCCGACTTTTGCTCCGTTTTGCTCCATTATCAGCGAGTTTTGCTCTATTACCAGGAGAGACTTACAGAGCTCCCAAAAATCTCTCCTAGCCCCCCCCCCCCCCGTGAAATTTTTGAAATTTGAACATGCTCATTTTGTTCTCCGAGTTTTGCTCCGTTTTGCTCCATAATCGGCGAGTTTTGCTCCATCACCAGGAGAGACCTACAGAGCTCCCAAAAATCTGTCCTAGCCTTCCCCCCCCCACCGGATGAAATTTTTTAAATTTGTATATGTTCATTTTGTTCTCCGACTTTTGCTCCGTTTTGCTCCATTATCGGCGAGTTTTGCTCTATTACCAGAAGAGACCTA